AGAATGACCACCAGGTGGCAGAGGCTCAATGCAGGAGCTGCCCCCTGGTGGTCAGTGCGCTCCCACAGCCAACCTCCCACCCTTGGCTGGCCAACCTCCTGTGGTCCCTCCCCTCAGCCAGCCAACCTCCTGTGGGGAGGGGTGACTGGACAAGATGGCCCCAATCGCTGGCCGGGCTGAGGGACCCCACCTGAGCATGAATGCGTGCACCCGGCCTTTAGTGATAACAGTAATAGCAGACATGGGACCTTTTTGGCTCTTAAATGTTCACTTTGAAATAAATCAATAGCATTTTTTAAAACATGAAAATTTCATGTTGGTCTAAGTTTAAAATAAATCAGTTTTAGTGTCATTGCTAAACCATTTTTGTTGTTTAACTCCACCACCCCAGAGAAATTGGAATCACTTGGGTACTATGCATGTTTTCAACCTTGAACTGGTACTGGCCTGGTGACCTTGTGGTAGGGCAGAGACCCACCCCCGTCACTGGGATAGTGAAGCCCAGGGTAGGCAGGGAGACAGCAGTCCCCACCTCATTAGGAGTGTTACAGTGGAACTGCACTTGACTGACTGCTGTCAATGGAGCGGATAATTCCATCTCAGCCGTTGGAACCGTGCCCAGGAACAATTAAGCTTAGCTTTGTTCCCACTTTTCCTGCCAACTCTGTCTCGGGTTATAAGTGAGGGCATCCCGCTGGATGATGAAATACACCACTGTGCACCTCTATTGTTTCAGCGATGGGAAGCCACCCCACACCTGCCACACTCGGCACTGGACTGGGGATGTGTCGGGACCCGCTGCAGGGAGGGCACCCGACATCACTGCCTCCTGTAGCCCTCAGTGCAGCTGGGTCAGGAGTGTGGGTCAGGGTACAGGGGCCCACTGCCCAGGCATCCCAGCCCTTATGGGCCTGTGTTGCAAAGCGGTTCGGAGTCCAGGCTGTAGAGTCCTGGGCTACCCACCCTGCAAACTTGAGCGACATGATCTTGGACTTTGTCTCTCTAAAGTGGATGATTATAGAAGCTACTGCAGAAGGTTGAGACGGTGGGTGGGAAGACCTTCGCATAATGTCTGACATACACAAACATCTCACAAGTGTTAATATTAATATTGCAACCTACTGTATATGTTTCTTATTGAAGCTTTTTTGCTTTTTAAAAGTAATTTTTTCCCTTATAAGTAAACCAGAAAATACAGAAAAGTAGGAACAAATTTGCATATTATATTGCCACCTGAAGCCAATTCCTCTGAGCATTTTGGGTCCCATCTTCACTGTTTGCACGTATGTGTGTGCGTGTATACACGGACACTTGTGCGACAGTTGCTTGTTTTTTAGTTAATTTATAGTTATAATTACACTCCACTCTGTGTTGTATCTGTCAGCCTGTCTTTTTCTCTGACATAGAATGAGTTTCTTCCATCAGTGTGTACATGCTTTGGGTTTTCTTGTTCTATTTTGGGAAATTTAGCCAAAGCATCTACATGGTGACTTTCATTTCTACATCAAGAAATGCTAAGCGAAAGAGTTCTCATATCTTTTCAGAAATGGCCTTTACAAAATGTATGATTTCCCAAGTAATAGTTCAGAGCACTAGCCTCCTTCTAGAGAAGTGAGTTGAACATATGTGATCACTTCGCCATTGAAGGTTTGACTAATATTTTAAAATACAAACAGCTTTGAAACTAGTTTATTTTCTCTCTCTCCTCAGGACAATTTTCCTTGTATTACTGTTTTCTCAATATGCCAGAAATGTTAAATTTCCCCTTCCAATTTACAAGTCCAAGAAAGGATGGACTGCGTACAAGTTACAGCTTTTCAAAATGTTCCCTGTAAGTAGTTACTTTTTTTTTCTCCTGACATATTGCCCTTGGTTCATGATGTAAACTGTTTAAGTGAGAGGAGGGTTTCAGCAGGTCTGCGCAGGGAGGGGCCCTAGGCTGTGTGGTGACATTGGGGTACTAATGACCGCTCCCCACCCCCCCAACTTGCTGTGGACTTCCAGTCTGAAAGTGGCAGAAGCTTCCGATTCTGAAATCCTTTAGGGGGACATTGGCTGTCCTGGGACTGAGGGCAGTCTGGTTCATTGTCCGTTATCTTTATTTTATTAGCCAGACTTAGGGTGAAAGTAACCTTACCTGCAGACAACTCCTCTCTCTAAATCTGAGCCCATTCAAGCAGTAGGCTTTCAGCAGATCTGTTATGGGTGTTTTAAGTGAAATAGTGGCAATGGTGGGTTCTGGGCTGTGGCACTCAGACTGTAGGAAGGCATACGTTTTGGCAGCAGCCGCCCCTTCTGTGGCTAACAGAGCCTTTGTTTTGACCCTTTCAGATCATCCTGGCCATCCTTGTGTCCTGGCTGCTCTGCTTCATTTTCACAGTGACAGATGTCTTCCCTCCCGACAGCACCAAGTATGGCTTCTACGCTCGAACAGACGCCCGGCAGGGTGTGCTTCTGGTGGCCCCGTGGTTTAAGGTTCCGTATCCCTGTAAGTATTCTCGTGGCAGGGGCGTCAGGAGCTCATGAGGGCAACTGAGAGGCCTTGGAAGTTAGCAGAAGGCTCTGCAGCAGGAGAAGCCTTCTCGTCCCTGTAGGTCTTAGCATTCTGGTCATTAGAGGATTCAGCCCCCAAAAAAGGGAGGCCCTGTCCCTTCATGAACACAGAGACTAACCAGCTCCCTTCTCAGGTTAGCTAGTTGGTTCTTTGGGTTCTACTCGGGTGAAATCCTAGACAAGAGGCCTCTTGCCAGGTTTGAGGTCTGGTGGCCTGGATTTAAGGGCAGCTCATAGAAACACAAGTACAGAGCCATGTACCCAGGCCCAAGCCTCTGAAGTGAGCAGACTGGAGTGGGAGGGCCCTGGAGATTAGCAAGCAAACTGCTCAAGCATGATGGGATTTGTATAATCTTATAATGGGGAGCTCTAATCTTTTAAAATTTGGTCCAGCTGTCAGAGGTAAACTGATATTCACAAGTGCGTGGAAGATGGATCATAAGTTAAGATTTAAGTGTTGGATAACTCTTGGCAAGGTGGTGGGGGAGGCAGTCCCCAGCTGAGGTATCATTTGGATTCACTTGTGCTGGGAAGACCCTTCCCCAGTCGTTATAGACGCTGAGTTGTTCTGTGGCGTAGACTCCGTTCTGACATTTGGGGCTTAGTTAGAGAAGCCTGAGCTTGTTTATTCCCCTGCTCATAGCAAACACATTTTCGTGTTTTATAATGACAAGGAGAGAAAGCAGGAAAGGCCAAGAATATTAGGACTGGGTCAGAGACAGCTGTACGCCTGTAAAATGATGGCAACATTGGCAGTTGTCCTTTCTGTTCTTGACACATTTACAAACACGTAAAAAAATGTAGCCTTTCTAAAATAACACTTTCATCAGATCATATGGTCAAGTATATATGTATGTACATAATGTACTCCTTTTTAAAAAAAAATGCATAGTTCATAAATCTATAATAATAAAAGCATAATATGCTAATTAGATCAGATGTCCTTCTGGACGAAGCCCGGTGGCAGAGCCGAGCCCCTTGCACAAATTTTGTGCATCGGGGCTCAAGTATACATCTAACCTGAGATAAAGAGATTAAAAGCCAGTTGTTGAGGCAGCCAGGAGGTGGCCTGGGAGGGCAGGGAGGAGGAAGCCCCCACGGCACCTGCTGGGTGGTCCCCCACCTGTGCAGGTGGCTCCTGAGAGGACGCAGGTGGGCTCCTCGGAGAAGCAGCTGAGAGACAGCTGTCTGGCTCCCGTCCTGTCACCCCCAACTGCGTGAGCTGCTGTATTGCCCTGGGAAAAGCTACCCCAGAAAGCCAGGTGGATTTGGTTAATTTGGAGTCCAGCTTTCAAATATGTCACTGTCTTTATGTTCTGTCTTTAGCATGCTAAGAATTTCCTGGACTGGCTGTTAAAATACAGATTTGGGGCCCAAAATGTCACCAGTGCTGAGGTTGAGAAACCCTGCTGTAAATAAAGGAGAGATGAAACAACAGTAAATATAGAAGGCTGGAAGCCAACAAGGTTTCAAATATATATAATCTGAAGAAAAAAGGTCCAACATGTAAAAGATTACAAATTTAAAATGTTGAAGTAGATGGAATAAGGATCTTATAATCCAAATTTAAGGACTTCAGGCACAAGGGGGAAAAAAATAGAAAACAGAGTAAAAGGCAATTTCTGAAAAAATAGTAAGAAAATGAAATAAAAATTTCTCCCCTAAATCAAGACACTAAACTGAAACCACAACATGACATGAGCAACAAGGTAACCATAGAAAATATATTAAAAATACAAAACGTTGCTTGATAAAGAAATTATCTGCATGAGAAAAATCTGTTCCAAACCCACCGGAGATGAGCTGTTGACCAAGCCCGCTTAGGGTAGGCATAGAGCGTGCTGGGCCGTTGCCCGTGGACGCATACCTGACCCTCTGACCACGGGCCTCTGAGTCCTCTGTCTGCTCCCATGGAGTGAAGTAGCCCAGGCGGGAGCAGTTAGTTCTGTGCACATCGGACTTCATGTGTCACCTTTTTCTTCCCAAACTTGAAGTTGCTCCCCATTACCTCTGAGACAGAGGCCAATCGCCTCTAGGTGGCGCATGGAGTCCTTCTAAACATGCCTGCCCCCCTGGTCCTGCCCACCTGCTGATGGGTGGGCGCTGTCCTTCTGAATGCCCTCTCCACTCAGCTCTTGCTCTCTAGACTCTCCAGACAGGGATTGTCGGATTGTCCTCTTCCTGCCTTCCCAACTTCCTCTCGCTGTGACCCAGTTTGGGTTGCCTCCCTTTGATGTCTAACCATTACACTGTTCTTGGATCATTCATCAAATGACCTTAATGACCCCTGCACAGGAGACCATTTTATCTGATCCATCTTCCTCTTCCCACTGTGTTTTTTGGTTTTTTTTTCTTAGTGACTATATTATAGCTAATGGTTCCAGGGAAGAAGGTCTAGGTACTTTATCAAAGAAGTCTATTCACCTTCACAGTGAAAGCTCCTCATGGTATTTTTATTAAGATCTATGGCTTGGAAAGTCCAAAGAGATTTTTTTCCTTTCAGAGTACATCTAATGAAGAAGGAACCAAATCCAGATCCTCAAATTGAAGCTACCTGGGGACTTCTCTTTGCTTTCTTAAATAAATCATTTAATTTTCCATAACATGGTTTACAAATACAAAATAGGAAAGTGCTGCTCTAACACTAGGGAAGGGTTATCTGCACCTTGTCCCATGCTCTGTTGCTGGGATCTAAATTTAACTGGTGACTTTTCACTGCTTTTTCACTTGATGCCAGTCCCAGAGCAAGGGCACCATTGGTTTGTACCATACTTTGCACAGCAGGGTTAAAGACCTTTTGCACAGCAGGGTTAAATTCGTAAAAATACAAACTTCTATCCCAACACAGCAGACTGTTTAAACTGTAATTTGGACACTGGCTTTGAAGCAGGAAGAGAAGCACCCACCTCTTTCTGCCTAACAGTGTCTTTTAAATAAGGACATAGAGCAGGCCGAGCCTGGTGATGGGCATCTTCATCCGACTCAGGAGCCCTTCCAGGCATCCAGCCATTGGTGATGTAGGTGTACTAGTAAACACCAAGTTTCCACCGTGAGCTTCAGATTCTGAGTGGACCTTGTGGAGTCCTTGGGCGTTCTGAATGACTTGGTGTGCGGTAACATCTTCCTGCCCCTCCAAGGAAGTGAGGATTTCACGTCTGTCGTCTTTCCGCAGTTCAGTGGGGCCTGCCCACCATCTCTGCAGCTGGTGTCATTGGCATGCTCAGCGCTGTTGTCTCCAGTATTATCGAGTCTATCGGGGACTACTACGCCTGCGCAAGGCTGTCCTGTGCCCCGCCGCCGCCCATCCATGCAATAAACAGGTACGTTCCTGAGGACACAAGTAATTCACTGGGTCCACCACCTCACTTTGTTAGCTTTGGTTTGGATAATCTTGGAGAAGAAACTAAGAGTTTCAGCATGGAGGCAGGCAAGACAGGGCTCTTCCTTGGCTATTTGTCTTTGGACAAGTCACTGCCCTAATTTTGCCCTCATTCTGCCCTCGTTTCCTCATCTGTAACAATGAGCAGAATTCTCACCCTTTTTTCTTCACAGTGACAATTGTATAAGACATTCTCTGAGGTCACTCTAGACCTTAAATTCATCTAAACACAGGCCAGACACCACCACTGTTACTTGCTTGGCTTGGGATCATGGGTGTATGTCCCCTTTCTTCCTGTTTTCCTCAGCTGTTCTAAAGGGTGGATACTGTGTCATCTCTTCACATTTACAATTTAAACTTTTTTTAATTGATTTCAGAGAGGAAGGGGGAGAGAGAAACATCATGATGAGAGAGAATCATTGATTGGCTGCCTCCTGCACGCCCCCTACTGGGGATGGAGCCCGCAACCTGGGCATGTGGCCTTGACCCGAATCAAACCTGGGACCTTTCAGTTCACAGGCTCACACTCTATCCACTGAGCCAAACCAGCTAGGGCAGCATTTCTTATGTTGGTTCTGTAAGGGGTGTCAGTCTGGATTTATGTCTTTCCCCAGGTGAGCTGTTGCATATGATTAAATTACTTGTATGTTGATTCTTTTAAAAAGTGTTAATGTTTACAGAATTACAAAGCATGTCCTTCCTGGTGAAACTATATATTAATAGCAGAGGAATCAAATCTATGGACGGCTTATATTTGTCTTAGATCCCAACAAATGGCTCTGTTTTCTGGCTAAAAGCTTTTAATTTGGAATGCTGTTTAAACGCCTGTGTCTAATGGATGGTTCACAGAAGTGCTTTCAAAGCTGAATGAGCATGGAGGTCTGGCATGGGGCTTGAGGCTGCCTTGTTACCCCTCCCAGGCGTGCAGAGGCTGCAGATCTGTGGCCCAGACCTTTGGGTCATGGCCACTTAGAGCCTATCGCAGAGTGTTCCCCCATTGAATGAATGTTTCTTTTTGCCCCATTCCTTTACATTTTAGGGGGATTTTCGTGGAGGGTCTCTCCTGTGTTCTCGATGGCATATTTGGTACTGGGAATGGCTCTACTTCATCCAGTCCCAACATTGGAGTTTTGGGAATTACTAAGGTACAAACATTTTACTAATTAAATGGTTGGGTCACTAAGCGTTGATCCATTTCATTGATCGGTCTGACCACATGAGTTCCACAGGGAAGGCCTCCAATTCTGAGATCGTCTCCCCCACCCCCATCTCCTTCTGTTGTTGTTGATGGATTTTTGGAATGCTGGCTTATTAAATGGTCTTCTTTGAGATTCTGTAGCCAGATAAAAAAAACCCAAATATTGAGTTTGATGGATCTTGACTGTAAACTCAGGTAAGAGGGTGCAGGGCATGCCCAATATACACCTCTGGTTTTCCTGTAAGTTGGGGGGCCATCACAGAGCTCAGCCTCACGCGTGCAGATGGCGCCACCTGCTGCCCGTTGCTCCTGATGCAGGGCATGTGAAGGCTGCCTGATGGGCACTTCCTCTAGTCGCTAGTGCCACCACTGGGTCTGTTGCTGCCAGTGGTGAGAACCAACACGGCACAGGGTGTCTCACATGGACACCAAATGGGGCACAAGTCACTCACTTTTATTTATTTTTAAAGTATTTTTATTGATTTCAGAGATGAAGGGAGAGAGAGAAACATCAATGATGAGAGAATCATTGATTGGCTGCCTCCTGCATGCCCCACACCGGGGATCAAGCTCAGCACTTGGGCATGTGCCCTGACCGGGAATCAGACTGTGACCTCCTGGTTCGTAGGTCGATGCTCAACCACTGAGCCACACCGGCCAGGCTCACTCGCTCTTTAGCCAGTTTGCTGCATGAACCTGTACACATGGAACTCATCTGAAATAACATCAACATAAAATTGTAGACGAAGGGACTCTTAGGGGAAAACAGTTTACTGAGCCAGCTGCCTTTCTGTGCCCCTTCGGAAACACACCAGTAACAGGGTCACTGTAGGAATAAGTGGTGCTGCTCGCTGAGGTTCCTCCTAGGATAGGACTGAGGTGGTCAGGGGAAGAATTCCTTTATTACACTTTGAATGGTGCCAGCTTATTCTGAAAGACAACCTGCCAGCGCTGATTTTCAATGAGCTAAATTGATTTTCCTTCTGAATCCCTTTGGGTCACTCACCTCAGGCAAAGGCTGCATCCATTCAAGGGCAGCGTCAGCCCTGGAATCGGTTTTCATCGCCTTGTGTAGATGGTACAGTCCAGTCATCTGCACAGCTGCCTTGGTGGGAAAGTGGGACTGGCAGCAGCCTTCTTTCTCTGTGGCCTGAGCCATGTAGCGGATGGGAGGTTCCGTCTAGAAGAAAGAGGCGCGGGTTCTGGGCTGTGGTCTGCCTCTTATCCAGCTGAAGGGCAAGTCCTTTGCTGAGTAGAACTGAGGTCTGACATTAGACGATTCTAGTCTGCACTGTCTGTGACAGCCACGTCCTGCATGGCTTGGGTTCAGGACCCGGAGAAGGGCCGCGCACAAATGACGAGACTAGACAAGAAGTATGAATTTGGAAATTACAGGGGGCCAGGCGGAGAGTCTTTCTCAAGAGGGAAGGCTTCACTGGTGCCCACGCCCTGCCAACCTTGAACTCAATTTTGGATACACATGTTGCCCTTAGTCAGGCAGCAATTCTGGTAGCAGACTATTTTTTTTTTAAATATATATTTTATTGATTTTTTACAGGGAGGAAGGAAGAGGGATAGAGAGTTAGAAACATCAATGAGAGAGAAACCGATCAGCTGCCTCCTGCACACCCGTTACTGGGGATGTGCCTGCAACCAAGGTACATGCCCTTGACCAGAATTGAACCTGGGACCTTTCAGTCCGCAGGCCGACGCTCTATCCACTGAGCCAAACCGGTTAGGGCACAGACAGACTGTCTTAAAGGTCAGTAAATATTAGTAAAGATTTACTTTGAGACTATTAGGTCAGGAAATTGCTTGAGCCACCATTGTCTAGACAGAACAATCGGAGCATAGTTTAGCTCTTGCCAAAAGGTCCATTAGCTTTCTAGGTTCCTTATTTGCACTTTCCTGATAGTGTAGACAATGGGTCGTTTCCAGCAACTGTCCAGTATGGTAGTCAGTAGCCACATGTGGCCATTTAAGTGTAAATTAGTTAAAACAAAAGATTTAGTTCCTTGGCCACACTAGCCACCTTTCAGGGCCTCAGTGGTCACTTGTGGCCAGTGGCTGCTATAGGACAGCACAGATACAGAATATTCCCATCAGTGTGTAAAGTTCTGTCGAATGGCTCTGGCCTGGGCCCCTGCATCAGAATCCCAGGGCATATAGGAAGAGGGTGACCTGTGGCTTTCGCAGAGAGTCTGCCTCCGTTTCCTGGCAACTCTAATAGTAGCTCCTCTATCCAGTCATGGATTTCCATGGCCATGGACATTCTAACCTGCTTGATCAGGAGTTGAGGCTGCTTACCCCATTGTGTTCTGAAGTTCTAAGGGGTCAGGTTCACAGGCGGGACTTCTCCACTGTGTGTGTGTGCCAATGTGTGTCCACAGAGAGGGGCAGGCATGGGGGTGGTGGCTGCTTTGGATTTCGGTCCTGGCTCCATCACTTTCCCAATGTGAGGTCATCTCTCTGAGTTTCCAAGATAGTATGCAAGGCTCTGGAATTAATAACATGATGTACAGCACTTAGCAGAGTCCACCATGGGGTGGATATACATACAGTAAGCTATTGATACCGTCTTCCTATGATATTGTCAAGTGAACGCAAAACGAGCTGAAGGCTTTGGCTAGAAATAAATGATATTTATTCAAGGGTCTTAGAGTTTGCAGATTGGGAATACAGCTAAACAAAAACCTAGAAGTATGAAAAAGAAGGAACATTTAAGAGTTCTTAAAATAAAAACGATACTCTTGACAATTATCAGTCCTGCATTCTTAGCCCTAGGATTGGTCCAGAACGGTTATCAGATATCAGGAGGTCAGAAAGATAGGTGCCAGGAGGTGTGGTTGGGATAATGGATGTCAGGTGGTCTGGATACATGAGTCCTTCAGGGGGTCATCACAGGGTTTCCTGAAGGTCTGGTGTATGTATATCCGGGGATTGACACAGGACTGGAAAGTTCAAAAGTTTAAGCTCCCAGGCTAATGAGAACAAGAAAAAGCTCATTTCCTCATGCCTCAACCAGCTTGATTTTAGTAATTTGGCAGCTCGACTATAGTCACTGTGTATTATTTCTTCATCCTATTCCTCAATATGTAGCTCAAAGTTTATTTCGAAACAGAGTGAGCACCATGACTCCTATGCTGCATTCCACACTGTGCAAAGCCTTTGGGAAGTCGGAAACGATGGCCCCACAGGCAGAGCCGAAGCTCAGGAAGGAGGTCAGGAGCGAGGTGGGCAGCAGGAAAGTAGACGAAAGGCTCTTTGTCAGCAATGGGAGGGAGCAGCT